TCTAAAGTACATTGCACAGTAAAATAATATCTCAAATTAGGCAAATCAAGCATATCTGGTTAATCCATTAAAAATATAACATTTCAGAAAGAAGTCCATTTAACAACATAGCATATAATACAAATATTTAGACAATAAAATAAATTATTTTAAAATACTTTTATAAAATGCAACGTCTACAGCAGACATATACTTGAACATACTTTTAAGGTCCTTGGCTTTATCACTTGAAATTTGAGCACACTGATTCAAGGCAGAAGCCATTGGTACAACTGTCAGAGGTCTTGTTATCACAGATGATAAAGAGCGTGGATTGTTAGGAAGACGCCTAACTCGTGCTTCTGAACAAACATCTGAAAACGACTTTCTGTAATATACATGATCTGAAAACTCTGCTCTGTAAACCAGATGCTTTATCTGGCTATAGGGAACAAGCTTAAAATTGAAATAGCTTGCAATAGCTGAAAAATGTTTGAAATCCAATCTTTTCATTTGGTAGACAAAAAAAGAATTTCTTCTTTGAACAGCAGAAATTGCTCTGGTTAAACCTAAAGGACTAAATATTTCAAGAAGAGCAAGTGCTCTGTCAATTTGACTGTGGATATTGTCAACCTCTTGAATACTAGAATGTCCTGGTTCACAAAACTTTTGCTCAATTACTCTAATTTTTGGGTAACATATCAAAAACTGACGCAAGGCAATGGACATGTGACTATTTCTGTTTTGAGGCATACAGGAATCAAACCATAGTATGAGTTTATTAACATCAGAGTGGTCTGCAATTATCTTTTCTAGCAAGCATGTTACACTACTTGCAAGGTCATTGCCTGCACGACCCGAAACACCTTCATGCCAAAGCATAAAATAACCTTTTTTATTTATGGAGCAATGCCCAGTTAAATTATAAGCTGAAAGTTTTCGATTGTAAAAAAATGCTCCCACATTTGATTTTGGTAAACTTATTACATTTTCAAGGTCAATACATACTACAGCCACATTTTTATCTATAATTTTGCGGTCTTTATCTCGTTCTGCTTTAGTTTCATTCTTAGAAATAATGTGTTTGGTAAACTTTTGGGTTTGTTCCTCAGTTGGATTTACTAGATTGCGGTATTCATAGCATGTATCACATAAATCAGTTTTTGGCTTCTGAAATTCAATGTTAAAGTGATGATCAAATATGAATCTATACAAATGCTTCTTAACAGGGGCAATATTCTTTTCTTCACAATAGGTTAAGTAAAATTCATACATCTTATTAGAATTTAAAAAAGCTTCAAAATATTCTTTTTCTGTTCTTTGATGACAGTAGTGTGATGGAACACGTGGAAATGCATTGATATGATCTTTAACGCTTTGTTTTGATGATTGATCTATAACCTCATTGGTGTGTTTCCCCCATTTTGAAAGGGCTGGGCTTCCAGTAGTATCATTTTTTTTTTCATGATGATAATAAACTCTTCTACTACTTATATTTAAAGTTGTGAGGTAAAATTCTTTACAAACTTGAGTTTGCAAATCACCAACAAAAAAGCTATAATAAAATGAATACGCTTTTCGCGAATTTTCATTGATGGTTTGATGACGTTTCTTCTGAAGTCGTTCAGTGGTTCGACTGTAGAAATGTCTCTTTTGCATGTCGTCCATAGACCAAAAATCGGCAAATATACGTGTTCTTTCTTCATCACTAATATTTTGTGCGCATCTGAATTTACAAGAATTTAGACAGTCTTTCTTACAGACTTGCATGGAACATTTTCTCCCTTTCTATATTTATATACGGCTGACCAGATTGTCTTAGCTGCTTTCTCACATTCTGTGCCCAAGTTTTAGGTGCTGACTTTCGTTTCCTAGTTTTTCCCCCATGTGGGGGCAGACGACGAGCTGTTGTTATTTCAGGTGTATCATTATGATAGCCAAGAACAGTTTCTGAAACAAAAACAAAAAAAGTATATATATATATATATATATATATATATATATATATATATATATATATATATATATATATATATATATATATACATATATATATATATATATATATATATATATATATATATATATATATATATATATATATATATATATATATATATATATATATATATATATATATTTATATACATATATATACATATATAATGTGAACAATAACATATTTTACCTTCAAAGTTTTGTTGTTGTTTTTCTGTAATAAAAACTTCGGTGAGCGAAAGATACTATGACTCAAAATGAGGTTTTGATTTTTTAAAAAACGAAGACCAGATATATTACTGAATTGGGGAGAAATGTAGGAGAGTGCTTCTACATTGACTAATTTAGGGATAACATGCAAGGGAATGCTGCTACATCGACTGAGGGTTTGGGTTAAGACAGGTATAGATTAATCGATGTAGCAGCACTCTCCTACATATCTTGGCGCTACTGCAGTTTCTCCCCCCCCCCCCTATTTTTTATTGTTGATTATGATAGAGAATTTTATGCTGATTAAAAATCGTATAAAAACATAGGTCTGAAAATCAATAGAAAGTGCTCTAATTCAATCTTGAAGTTTAAAAAATTGCACTAAAAAACGCTAATATTTGCCATTTTTTTAAATTCTTGGTTATATTAAAATTCTTTTTAAAGACGATTTTTAAAAAGCCTGGTTTCTATCAACAATTTAATGCAAAACTGTTAAAAAATGCTCAGCGCATCATTTTCTGATTTATCCCTTGCCCAAACCCAAACCCTGTCCCAAATCATGTACGTTTAATTGCGCCAATCCCTATTTGTCAGTCGATGTATGTGCATTTAGTTGTGCCAATCCCTATTTGTCAGTCGATGTATGTGCATTTAGTTGTGCCAATCCCTATTTGTCAGGCATTTAGTTGTGCCAATCCCTATTTGTCAGTCGATGTATGTACATTTAATTGCCCAATCCCTATTTTTCAGTCGATGAGTGTACATTTAATTGCGCCAATCCCTATTTGTCAGTCGATTTATGTACATTTAAAAAGCAATATTTAAATTTATTTCAAAAGAAATAATTAAAGTTATATAAAATACATTCATAAAACATTTAATTCAATTATAAATAAACTTTGATGACAATAAAAACTGGGTCGCGTAATTAAAAAAAGATTTTCTTAACGATCGATTTTAAAATATAAACTTTGATGTAAAACGTATTTAAAAAATGGCGAATATTAGCGTTTTTTAGTGTAATTTTACAAACTTCAACATCAAATTAGAGCACTTTCTGTTGATTTTCAGACCTATGTTTTAATACAATTCTTAATCAGCATAAAATTCTCTATCATAATCAACAATAAAAAATAGGGGAGGGGGGGGGAGAAACTGCAGTACCACCCATATCTTCTCAAATCAGTTATATATCTGGTCTTCGTTTTTAAAAAAAATCAAAACCTCATTTTGAGTCATAGTATCTTTTGCTTACCAAAAACTTCCGCAGCTGCCATTTTGACGTACTTTTGATTGAATAAAATGGAGGTAACACATCATTTAACTTTTGATTGGATAAAATGGAGATAACACATCATAATTTTAATTTATAAACAGGATTAAGGAGATAGAACAAAATGCAATGTCAGGTATAGTATGTTATTTTTTTTTTTTTACTGATTTTTTTGTAAAAAATAAATATTTTATCTATGAAAAGCAGAAAAATTAATCTAACTCAATTTTTTTGATTTGTGGAGATAGAACAAAATAATTCTAACCTCGCGATTTATAAAAAATATCCAATATTGAATGGTTTATAAAAACCTTGAATTATTTCACCAAATTATTACAATTCTACTAACTTTAAGTATAATTTCTATTCAAACTGAAAAAAATAACCTTTTTCTCGTCCGTTTTTTTTTTTTTTTTTTTTTATGATTGCGCTTTTTTTGGCGCAATCATAAAAAAAGTTTTTGGCAAAAAAGTTTGCTTCACAACGGCAGTGTGAAGTTAGATATCTAGTAAATATATATCATTGGTCTGGTATTTACGGAGGTGAATACAGCGCCAAACATGTAAAAACAAACTTTTTTACTGTGTTCTTCGTTAAAAGCCGGACATCTAGCAACCCTAACGATGTTTAGGTGAAATGAACATCATAATTTAATAGTATGATCTGTTACAATCGTTTATTTTTCTTAATTATAAGCTCTTTCTTGGTCAGAATACTTTTTGTGAAAATTGATAGAAATGTTGTGTTTTGAAATATTAATTTAATATAATTATATTAAATTAATATGTACTAGAACAGTTTAGAACTAGAATCTATAGTAGATTAAGACTTTTGAAAATTTTGGTAATAAAAATCAAGTTGATTTTTATTGATCAAGAAAATTTTGGTAATAAAAATCGCTGTTGAGCAGAATTAATATAAAGACTCAAAAATGGTTTTCTTTAGATTCAAAATTAAACGTAATAAAATTTTTTTTTAATTTATAAAAATATATAAAAAAGGGAAAAGTTTATTTAAAAATTATAAAAACTTGAAGCAAAAAAGTTTAATACACTGACAAATTCATGCAAATTACAAATAAAAGAATCCGAATGATTTATAAATCGTCCTAACTACCAAGTAGTAAAAGAATTTTATATAGTTATGTGGTTTTACCGGAAAAGTTTAAATATATATATTTTTTACTTTTTCGTAAAATTAACCCTTACCTTGACTATTAACGGTAATTACATTTACAGATAGTAGTACAACTATTTTAAAATGTGTTTTAGTTTTCCTGTTTTTATGACAGCAAATAAAAAGCAAATATTCAAGACTCTTTAAAACTTTAATAAAAAATGTCTGAAAAATGACTTGGATTTTATTTTGACATATTTGAACGGATGATTCTCCTTTCACTGGTATTTTTATATATTTTTTAATATTTCTGTCCGTTCTGGTTTTATTTAGTTTTTTTGATGCGGTTTTACTTTATACGTTTAAAAATAATGCAAATTGGAATTGTAGCAACATATTGACGTTTCAGAAATAACAATCGACATTAAAAAATATTTCATCTAAAATTTGTTTTTAATATAAATAGTAACTACATTTGAAAATTCACAGTTTGTACCAGGTTTGCAATTATTTTATGTCAACATCATATTGCTACTACCTGCCAACATTCTAATCGTTTAATTGACAGGAGAAAACGTTTTATTATTTAGATGATGATCACTTAACTTGCATATACTTTAGAATTGTAATTATTGTACAGAATATCGGAAAGTCTAAAAAAAAAAAAAAATTAAAAATTCTAGTCTAAATATATACTTTCGTTTCTTAACAAAACGTAGCAAAAAATAAGAATCCATACGAACCTTTTTTGGAAATTTCACCAGAAATTTTTTGCAAAAGAGATTGTAGGCTTGCTACTGCACGCACAGCCCACGTAACAGGTTCTTGAGGACCGTTTTCTGGTTTAGGAAGTTCAACATATTGAACGGTATTTGCTTTAACATCGTGAACAATTGGAACTGTAAACGTATTGTTTTCATTTTTTACCTCAGTTAGTTGTAG